AAATGGAGATTGTTGCAGGATCTCCGAAAAAAATCAATGCAGTAATGGAAAGTATGGGGGCATTGCAGCCTGGTATGCCCTCACTCATCATGATTCCAGCAGAGTGGGAAATCCTGATGATTGATTTAAAAGATTGCTTTTTCACTATTCCTTTACATCCTGATGACAAGCCAAAATTTGCCTTTACTGTGCCTGCAGTTAACAATGCCGAACCTGCAAAGAGCTATCAATGGAAGGTTCTACCTCAGGGCATGAAGAACAGCCCAACTATCTGCCAATGGTATGTTGCTCAAGCTTTGTCCGGAATCCGTGAGCAGTTTCCTGAGGCATACTGCTACCATTACATGGATGATATCCTGGTGGCAGCATCCACCCAGGATGAGCTGCTAAGGATACAGCCTTGGCTGCTCGGTGCTCTGCATTCTTATGGATTGCAAGTGGCTCCAGAGAAAGTTCAACAGCATCCTCTTTGGAAATATTTAGGAGGCAAAATTCCGGATCAAACTATACAACACCAAGAAGTGCAATTCTTGTGTTCTATTAAGACCTTGAATGATGCTCAGAAACTGCTGGGTGTCATCAATTGGTTATGTCCTTATCTAGGGCTAACCACGGCACAATTTTCCCCTCTCTTTAATATTTTAAAGGGGGACCCTTAGTTGAATTCACCTCGGAAATTGACTCCCGAAGCACGACGAGCGCTGGAGGAGGTTCAACAGGCTGTTTCTGCTTGTCAGGTTCATCGAGTGGATCCCTCCATTGATATCACTGTTTTCATTACCACTCTGGATTTTCATCCTACAGGTATCATTGGCCAGTGCAATAAACAGTGGCTCGACCCTTTGCATATTCTGGAATGGGTCTTTTTGCCACATCAGCCAAAAAAGACAGCATCCACACTGTCTGAATTGATCACTTGTCTGATAATCAAATGCTGCCAACGGTGTTTACAATTAATGGCAGCGGATCCTGCAACAATTGTTCTTCCAGTACAGCAGGAACACTTTGAGTGGAGCCTTACTAACAGTGCTCCT